TCAGGTACAGAGATCTGGAGAACCTCTATTTAAATCTCGTGCTGCTGTAAGCCAGTGTGTAGTATATGGGCTAGTTCAATATCATGGGTTACTTATGTTGTCTCAGCTGAGCCTACCTCACAGGACTGTTGTGAAGAAAAGTGGGAAGGGAGACTATGTGCACCACCCTGATCTCCTGAAGCAGAATATAACTCTAAGAAACAAACCAAAAATGTAGTTATATTACTGTTAGAATTATACAGTGGCTTGACTATAAATAGCTTCGATTGTTTGGTGCCCAATTCAAACTTTAAAACCCTGGTTAGTTTTGGATCCTTATGGGACTTTTTTTCAGATCAACTGGTTTGCCCATGCTTTGAGATAAGCCCTGGGGGGTTTAAGGCACAGTAATACAGCTTTCTCTATACACCTCTGAGTTCCATGATGCCTCATAACTGAAACCACTCATGTCACTTCTAAATGTATAGTTGCATAATTGTTTAGAGGTTTTTGTGAACAGCTATGAATATCACAAGACTATAATTTATAATTTTATCATTTGAGTTTATAGCTTGTAATGAACTATGAATTGTAAAAAGTGCTTTGTACTATTATTTTTAAATATAATTGCAGTTTCAAGATTCATCATGCTAAAAATGGGCTTCTTTTATATTGTGAACTTTTATGGATGAAATAGATTTAAACCCTCTTTTTCATCTTTTAATAAATAATAAAATAATCGTATCAATTTAAATCCTGTTTTCTGCAAAAAGGAGAGCTAAAATACATTCTTCCCTCTGAAGAATTTTAGAATAGCAATAGCACTTAGACTTATATACTGCTCCATAGTGCTTTATAGTCCTCTCTAAGCGGTTTACAAGTTAGCATATTGCCTCCAACAATCAGGGTCCGCATTTTACTGACCTCAGAAGAATGGAAGGCTGAGTCAACCTTGATCTCGTCAGGATCGAACTCCTGATAGTGAGCAGTGAGTTAGCCTGCAATACTGCATTCTAACCACTGCACCACCACAGCTTTTAGTCCTTATTTACTCACCACTCATTGAGCAACTGTTCAAAGTTATGATAACACTGGAAAAAGAGCAGCTGTGATCCCTGAAGTTGAGGCCATTACAGCATCCCTGTGCAGTCATGATTGTGAATGAGGTGCTTGGCATTCAGTGTGTATCTATGATAGTCACAGTTTCCTACATTCTGTAACTTCCATGCAAATGTATTCAAATGTTTGTGTAGAAGCTTTATTTGTGCACCCCCTTTTCATTTTTAAGAGGAAAATATCCAAGTTATCCTGTACTCTTTCAATTATCCCTCTCCAGGTGAACATAGGAGCTAATGTGATGAGTCTCAAAATTGTGTATGGAGGCACTCAGATATTAGTGCAAAAGTCAGTCACAAAGAATTGTTAACTCCAAAATACTGCAAGTTTCTACTACAGTGTTTTAAAAAACTGTGGGTTAATAGATCACATTAATATAGCTCATAATGTCAACATTTGCATTACATCACTAGCATTCCTTATATTTGTGTCAGCTAACTTGTTTCAGTTAGATTCCCCCCCCTTGTTTGTTCTGCATGGAAAAGCCTGTCAAGAAATAATGTAATTAGACAATTGCAAGTAAGACTACATGTTGTTCATAGTGGGCAATTGGTGATCTAATTAAAAGATTTACCTTTTTATTTATATATCAAATTAGTTTATAAACATTTGGTATTTAGAGAAGCAAAAATGGGTTTTAGAATTTTTCTAAGTTGCTTGGAGTAGAGTGGCATAAAAATAACAGTAATAAATACATTCAATTTACAAAGTAAGATTTGTTCTGAACTACTTTGAAATATAATCATATGGAATGCACCTTGTATAAAATTTTAACATTGCAAAATTTTAATATATTGAGATCTGCCTCTAATTAGACAATTATTAAGACCTCTTATTGATCTAAGCCCATATTTTCTTCCCATCCTTTAATGTTATGTGCAGATTTCAAGGGAGAACAATTAGGTTATGGAAAAAGCACTGAGAAGTCACTCTTCCAATAGAACGTTTTCCTGATCTTTAAAGCACTTCAGGAGGACTAGTGCAATAGCTGTAATTCTTATATGGAAAAATAATTAGCTAATTTAAAATTTTAAAAATCCCAACTAGTTTTATAATTTCACATGGCAATGTTTTACTGTTTAGTGTGAACTGACACACTTCAACAAACAAAAGTTTATAGTTCTGCAAATTGTTTATAATAGTAGAATGAGAACTGGGCAACCAAAAAGGCTTCAGATCTGGAAGTGTCTTTGTTTAGTTAAGCTTTGTTATAAATTGCAAGCAAATGACCCTGAGGCTGTTTTGTTTTTATTGTGAAGCACAGATTCTTGTTTTATTTCTTTATCTCACTTGCCCATCCAGTGTATTCCAAGGAAATAGGAAGGTATTGTCTATTAAAAATAAAAGCCTAAAAGTTACTCAAGAAAATATTGGTAGCAGCTACTTCCTGAATAGGGAATTCACATTCCTGTGTCTCAAATGGATCTTTGTCATTGAGGCATGGCTGGAGAGCATGTAGCAACATAAGATTTCCCCCATTCTCTTTCAGTTAAGGTGGAAAAGCTTTTGCTCCTTTGGAGAGGGGAAAAACAAAAGAGAAACTAGAAGTTGACATAATGCATTGGAGCTGGGGAATTTCTCATTACTAGCAACCCTCTGTTGCTCCTAGAAGTCAGTGTGCCTTTATCCTGATGATGTGCTTTCTCTTTGGCCCGTGGACTATCAGTTTGAAATCCACCACCTCTAGAGCAGGGCTTTTCAACCAGTGGTACGGGTACCACCTGTGGTACATTGGCATCTGGCAGGTGATACGCGACCATCCTAGAAAAGGATGGGGGAGGGGAATGAGCTGAACTGGTGGCAGCACGGCACTCTGAGCGAGAGATGGCTGGAGCTGCAGGGCTGTCAGGGCTGAGTGGAAGCGCCAGGATCAGTGCCACTTTCCAGCTGATCGGCGCTTCTTCGGGGCTGTCAGGGCTCAGTGGAAGCGCCAGGATCAGCGCCAGGCTCCAGCTGGAGCTCGGTGCTATCCTGATGCTTCTGCTGAGCCCTGAAGAAGCACCAATCAACTGGAAAGCAGCACTGATCCTGGCACTTCCACTGAGCCCAGAAGAAGCGTCGATCAGCTGGAATGTTACAGCCTCTCCAGGGTCTTGTGATTTACATTCAGATACTTGGCAACTGATTCATATTTATAACAGTCACAGTGTCCCAGGGTCATGTGAAGTGACCAAAACCTGCTGCAACCATCCAGCGGATGGGGGAATAAAAACCAAACACCCCTCCAGCCCACCCCCTCTGCCAATCCTCAACAGAAATGCTCACAACAATGGAAACCTCAGACAGGAAGTTTTTGACACCTTGCTAGGCGACTGATGGTACTCGGATATTGCCATATCCTAAAAGTGGTACAATGGGTGAAAAGGTTGAAAAGCCCTGCTCTAGAGCAGCGGTTCTCAACCTGTGGGTCGCGACCCCATTTGGGGTTGAACGACCATTTTATGGGGGTCGCCAAACACGATCTGCCATTTTTTTCCCTCAGCTGGCGGCGCCACAGCGCATGCACATGGGGGTGCCGCCGCACAGGCGCGGCGCGCACGGGGTGCTGCCACGCATGCGCGCTGTGCATGGGGGTGCAGCCGCACAGGCGCGCCGCGCATGGGGGTGCCGCCGCGCATGCACACCGCGCATGGGGGCGCATCCTTATGACCGGGGTCGCCGGTATAAAAAGGTTAAGAACCACTGCTCTAGAGGAAGTTGCTAGATAGGTGCAATCACTGCCATGTGGAAACAGCCCCAGTTCCTGACTATGGTTTTCTGAGAGGGTGAAATTGAACAGACCTCTCACACATTGCTCAGGAAAGGACATTTGGGCGAAGGAAAGGAGCCCTGCATCACCAACTCCCTTCCAAGTGAACTGGCCATAATGGTAATGGGTCTCCTGACCTCCTTTTGGTTCCATTGCTTAATCAGCCAATGGAATCTGAGAAAACCAAATTTCACCGTGATTCCCAATGCAGAACCCCCCATTGGGTGATGGTGGGGAGGTCCAGGACCACAGCATCAGCACAAGAGCCACGAGATTACTGACATACACAAGAGAGTCGCTTCCATGCGCCCCACCTTATAGTTGCAGAGTGACTCAAGCCACGGTAAGACAAAAATACCATTTGAGTGCAGGTAGTCCTCAATTTACAACCACAATTGAGCCTAGTATTTATGTTGCTAAGTGAGAAATTTGTTAAGTGAGTTTTGTCCCATTTTATGACTTTTCCTACAATATTTGTTAAATGAATCACTGCAGTTATTAAATTAGTAACACGGTTGCTAAGTGATTTTGGTTTTCCCATTGCCTTTGCTTGTCAGAATGCCACAAAAGGTCACATGATCCTGGGGCACTGCAACCGTCATAAATACGAACCAGTTGTCAAGCATCCAAATGTAAATCGCACGACCATGGGGATGCTGCAATGGTCATAAGTGTGAAAAATGGATATAAGTTTCTTTTTTCAGTGCTGTTCTAACTTCGAACTAAACAAACCGTTGTAAGTCGAGAACTACCTGCATTACAGCCTCTATTTATTTAGCATATGGCAACCACAACCTCTAAATTCGTCTCTCTGCGGCTTCGGCCTTTTGTTGACCTCGGGAGGCGGGCGGGAGCACGCGGACACGTCCTCGCGCCTGGGTAAAGAGGCTGTGTGGACGCTCTGTCTCCCCCCCCCCCGTTTCCAAATCACATCAATAGGGTCGTTACACCGTGGGGGAAGCTGGCTAGTCAGGTTCATAATCCTCCTCCCTCTTTGTGAAGCATAAGGGAACTTTTTTCACCGTCCCCTCCCCCCCATTCAATTCCCAGCTTTTGGTGAAACTCTGGCCTCGGGAGAAGAGCGCGCGCCACAGGGCGATGCCCCCGCCCGGAAGTCAAAGTTATATTGCGAGGTGGCAGAGCCGATTATCCTCACCGGCGACTCCAACCCTTCGCCGCCACACCGGGAAGAGTCCCACCTTCAGTAGGTTTTTCCCGTGGGAGCCCAGCGCTCCTCACTTGGCCCTCCCAGCTAGACTCCTTGTTGTCGTCAAGGGCGACAGGGCCACCAAGGGAGACTCTTGCAAATGAAAGCGAGGACGTAACTGTGCGCGGGGCGTTGGCTTCCACCTAGCCTTTGGGTTGGGCCCAGGTAAAGGCGCAGAGGCGGCGGCCCAGGAGTCTCTCCGGTAGGATCTACTTTTATGTCTCTGGCTCGGCGGGAGGAGGAGGAGGGACGACGGGGGGGGGGGGAGGCGAGGACCGGAATGAACTGGAGGGCGGTGGTTCCACGCCCAGACTTGTTAGTTCAAAAAGATTCCCAAAAGTTGCGGCTTCGTCCTTCCTGTGTCTCTAGGGAGGAGACTAGCTGATCTCCTCCTCCTCCTCCGCCACCACCAGTAACGCCGCCGCTTGGTTTTCTTCTCACCTGGACGCTGCCGCTGAACGCCACTGGGACCGGCCTCTCTTTCTTTCTCTCCCAAACAGCTAGTCTTCATCTTACTTCTCCTTTGTCTTTAGCCCCTCTCCTCCCACTTTTTTGTGTACCTGTCCCGGCTTCCTCTCTCCTATCCTGACCGCCCCCCCCCTCCTCCAGACTAGCCGCCTCGCTTTCTGTATTGCGTAAGGGAACTAACTGGGGGCTTCGCGCTGCTCGCTCGTTTGCTTCTGCCAGAAGTGGGGAGAAAGAAAGAAAGAAAAAAACAACAACTAGAATACAGCCTTTCTCCAGGACACACCTCTCTTCAGTTCCGTCGGTGCAAGTTGATGCTTTTCTGGTGATCTGGCTCTTCCTTATCCGAGGCAGCACGCTTGAGTTAATACAGCTTTCAAGATGAGCATGAATGGATCCCATCCCAGGCTCAACACCTTGGGCAGGATGGTCCGAGCGGAGTCCGGCCCGGATATGCGCTACGACATGAACTCCCATATGATGATGGGAGGCGGCGGCGGCGGCGGCGGCGGCGCCGGCAGCAGCAGCCATACTCATAAAATGTATTATGTCCAGAAAAGCTATGTCGGGGACATCAACTCGGAAGGTTATACGTAAGTGCAAAACAATATCTCACGTATCTACCTCTCCTGGGTGTATGCGTATGTCTAGGGTTTTCTCTTTCTCTTTGCAAATAAATCAGAGTTGCCCTGTTAAGGAGGAACGGACGCATCCCATCATGGGCAGCTCTAGTTGATTGCTGAAACCTGTCGTTGCTTCCCGGAATATAAATACCATGCTGATTAAGTTGTGCATCTGTGTGAAGAAAGAAGATCTAGTTGCAACTCATTTTATCCTCAGTTTACTCACTCCTCCTTTTATGGAGAAGTTGCTCTGTACAATATGGGAAAGATTATTTCCTATGATATCTTAGAAAAAGCCCAGGAAGAGTTCATACAGTAGGTTCTAGTTGCAACTTTTGATGATATAATGGCTTTTGGCAGGCTGTAGTTTTGGGTTATGGCTATTGAATTGTAGGATAAAGGGGAGATCAGATGGATGATTCACCCATCAGTACAGTATTTTGTGGGATTAAAGCTAATAGTTTTAACTTTGTGAGAGCATAAAGTTTTCTGATGACTAATGTCCTTTTTGCTTTCATGGTTCCTTTTGATAATGGAATTGCTGTAGTCTTTATAACACCCAATTCCTTTTAGAGTTTATCAACTTTAAGGCTGGAAAGTTGTTTTGTGCTTTCACGAGAGAGTCCTAACAAAAAAATAGTTTGGCTTTTGTTGATCCACTAAGGATTTTTAAAAATTATTAGTATTTTTGAGAAACACTGCTTCAAATGCCTTATTTTTCCTGTTGTGGAGACAGCATGCTGGTTAGGAAGCTGCATGCAGTTATGAACCATTTTTACATGTATAATTGAAAAGCACAGTACGGATAATGTTGCAAACACTACTCAGCAGGAGCAGTTATTGACTTTGGCTCTTCCCTTGACTGTACGCTTTGTACACATTACATTCTCTAGATACTGTATGATCACAAGGAGCATTCACATGCATATGAGAGAGGGCAGGCACTCATGGCTTGCCTGTGCATGTATAAACAAGAGGGAGTATCATATATGACAAGTATATGAGATTTTGTCTAAGTTCTGACATCAAACTGTTTCTGCAGAAAGGGTATTGTGAATACTAGCCCATTTAACTGGTTTATGTCCTGTTTATTTTACTTGGTTAGTTGGGCTGGTTTTCACTGATGTGACTCCTTGGCAGAATTACCAAATAATACTTAACATTAAAAATTGACAGACTTTATAGAGGTGTGAATCTTGGCTTCTCCCTTCCCATATTAGTAGTTGATTTTGTCATCAAAGTTTCTTTTCAGAACCACCATCTTTTTTGTTTAATGAGGCTCAGTAGAATTCTTTTTTCTTTCTTTGAATAACAAAATTGGAAAGTTTCTTTTAGCTAGTTCCATTTTATATCCTATCTTATAGCATTGCTGTGGCTCATTATGTGATGTAGTGCTCTAGCAGTGCTGATAAACTATTAAAGGAAGCTAAAAATGTTGATTCTTAATTCCAGCTGTGTGAACCACTAAAACACAAATTTAGAATGTCCACTTTAAAGAGACCTGTTTATATTTGAAAATTAAATCTCTTTGCGGATGGCATACATTCAAACATAACTGATAAAAACATGCTTGTTTTTAATTTCTTACTATGTTTAATGTTTGGGAAGTAATTCTTTTCTCAGCCCTCCCTCCCTTTCTTTGCAAAATTTATTTCTGGGACTCACATTGTTTTTTCCTCCATGTGGACAGTTTACTAACTATAGAGATTCTAGATTTATGTTTAACTTACCATATATTGACTTTCATTGAATGCTTACTTCGATATGCATTTATAGTATGGTTATTGAGATATTCTCTTCTGATGTTTGAGCATACTGAGACTTTGAATAAACCTTAGAGCTAGTTTGGTGTAGTGGTTAAGGTATCAGACTAGAAAATGGGAGGTGGGGGAGGAGAATTGTGATTTCTCTTCCCATTTTAGGCAAAAAGCCAGCTGAGTGACCTTGGGTTAGTCACTCTCTTTCAGCTTTATGAAGGAGTTAATGGCAACTTTTGAAAAACTGCAGGAACTAGTCCCGGCAGTTGTTTGGAGTCAGAACTGACCAGAAGACACACACAAACACATATAATTAACTCTAGTTAATAACTGATAATAGCCCTATCACCGGTACAATGATATTTGTGTCTGTGCTCTATATTTAATACTCTCTTCAGAGTATTAACCCAGCCTAGTTTGGAAACTATTATGCAGAAACGTTCAGCGAAATCAGTACATTTTATGAACATTTATCTCCATGGATTCAGAATAAGTAGAAATTCAGATGCAGGGGGGAAAAGTTTTCTTTGCTGAATTTCTCTCATTTAATTGTTAAAAACCAAAAGAGCTCTGCAGAAACTGTGTGAATTAAATTAAGATCAGATGCGAGAAATAGAGAATGGAGGACATCTGAAAAGAAAAATTGGTTTTTTTAAAAGGCAATTTGAGTAACTACTTTTCATGCAAAAATGAATGGAGTTGCTTAGTTTATGCAGCATATAGCATTCTTTCAGCCATTAATAGTTACATATTTTTTTTCTTTTCTTTCTGGCTATTTTCTGAATTTTCCTGTCTTTTTTGCCTGCAGCATCAACATGTAGCTTTTGTTACTTCTTGTCATCTTTTCTGGCTACCACACTTAGTATTTGTTTAATTCTTAAGAATATTTCACTCTTCAACTTTAGGCGTTTAGAAATAGCTGTAACATTTGAGAAAATTTGCATACTGAAATATAGAAGTATTGGCATATATATTTCTGGATGCAAACTAATTTGTTCATCAGAGTTTCAGCAGACTTGCCTGTGAGGTTAGGGTCTGGCTTTCTTAATTTTTTGTTTATTTTTGGTTGTTCATCTACCAGCTTGGAGTTTACTGAAATGACAGTGCCAGCCTCTCCCTCCCCCAAGGGTTGAGTAAGCTGTCTGTTCTCAGCTTCTCAGTTGTGGGAATCTAGGAACAAGTTGGTTTCTGTAGCATTTCATTGATAAGGAATGGAGATTGCAAATGCAATGGCTAGTGATTAACTCCACCCTTTGCAAAAGGGCTCTCACCAGTCAAAGCTCCTTTATCACTCTTTTTCTTTTTCCACTCATTGTAAAGCATTTTATCTCAGAGAAGCCCCTATCTTGCTTGCTTTCATCAGTATCAGACATGAGGGATGGGTGGTGTTTTCCCTTCCTCTCGCTTCTCCTGTGCTTGTGTTTTTACTTTTCCTTGTGCAGAGCAGGAAGTACATGATTCCTTCCAGGCAACATTGCCAATCTCTCCTTACCTACATCAGCTTTCAGAAATCCAGTAGAATTTGCCAATGGAAATAATTTCCGTTACTGTTTTTTGTGTTTGCCTACACCAGTGTTTCTCAACCTTGACAATTTTAAGGCATGTGGACTTCAACTCCCAGAATTCCACAGCCAGCATTGCTGGCTGTGGAATTCTGGGAGTTGAAGTCCACATGCCTTAAAATTGTCAAGGTTGAGAAACACTGGCCTACACAAATCTCATATAGTTTATCAACCCCCCCCCCAACAGATGTTGAGAGCTTTCAAAGGAGAGGGGCAGGGGAAATGTAGTATCACATAAGTAAAATTTGTTCAAACAATATTGGATGTTGCTTTTAGAAATTCTTACACCTGTATGCAAAGTCAATATTTTCTTATTGCTTATTATGTGTGGAGAAGTGATCAAATTTAATTTGTGATTAAATTTGGGTGGCATTTGCTTCAAAAACATAATTTCTAATTCCTTGATTTATCAATGTTTAAAATAGGGTAAGAATTATTACAAGGCAAGGCTGTCTTTTAAATGCCTTTTATATACGTATTGCATTTAAATCTATGTAGCGAACTTACTTGCAGAGACAAGTAGAATACAAGTAGCAATCTGTACAGTCATGCAAAGACTAGAATTACAACTTCGTTTTTTTTTTTTTTAAAAAAAAATCTGGTTATTTTTTCCTCCTTATTTCCAAACACATCTTCTTGGGGCAGGGCAGGGCAGGGCATGGCGCTACAGACTATGTGAACAAATACAGCCACTATGTTTGTTAATGAAAATGACTGCTACACCATCACAATTGCAAGATGAGAATAAGGAGTGTCCCATAATA